TGATCATGCCAGGAGAGAAGCAGAAACAGCAATTCGTGCTCGCAATGATTTCTTGGCAGTTATGAACCATGAGATGAGAACTCCAATGCATGCAGTTATTGCACTTTCCTCCTTGCTGCAGGAAACTGAACTGACACCTGAGCAGCGTCTAATGATTGAGACAATTCTTAGAAGTAGTAACCTTCTGGCTACTCTTATAAATGATGTATTAGATCTTTCGAGGCTTGAAGATGGCAGCCTTCAACTTGACTTAGGAAGTTTTAATCTTCATGCAGTATTCAGGGAGGTAAGATATATGTCATCTCACCAAATTTTTCAGATTATACTGTAAATATTAGTTGCATAGAATTCATAAAACTTTTGTTGGATTTGGGTTGGTGAATATGATGCTTATTTCCGCATTGCAGGTTCTTAATTTGATCAAGCCTATCGCATCTGTTAAAAAGTTGCCTGTAACCTTAAATGTAGCTCCAGATTTGCCAGAATATGCCATTGGTGATGAAAAGCGATTAATGCAAACTATTTTAAATGTTGTTGGTAATGCTGTGAAGTTCTCAAAAGAGGGAAGCATCTCAATCACTGCATTTGTTGCAAAATCAGAATCTTTAAGAGACAGTCGAGCTCCTGACTTTTTTCCAGTGCCAAGTGATAATCACTTTTATTTGCGTGTACAGGTTAATTCCTCTGATGCTCAACTAAGATCTTTTTCCTAGCAAGGGTGAATTTTCTGTTCTAGGGGTTGGTTATGAATAGCTTTTATCTTGGTATAGGTAAAAGATGCAGGACAAGGAATTAACCCTCCAGATATTCCCAAGTTATTTACAAAATTTGCACATGCTCAAACTTTGGCAACCAAAAATTCCAGCGGCAGTGGACTTGGCCTTGCAATTTGTAAGAGGTAATTCATTTTGGTTGTTTTTATAGACACAATTTTGTATTAGAGCATGAAGTGACTTTTATTAGACATTTTATACTGTGGTTTGACTTTCTCAATTCTACTGCCATTGAAGTTCACTATTATATCTAAATCTTGTATGTTTGTGATCAGGTTTGTAAATCTTATGGAGGGACATATTTGGATTGAAAGTGAAGGTCTAGGCAAGGGATGCATGGCTATCTTCATTGTAAAGCTTGGGATCCCTGAGAACACAAGTGAATCTAAGAACCCATTCCTACCTAAAGCAAATCATGGACAGACAACTTTTCCAGGACTCAAAGTTCTTGTCTTGGATGATAATGGGTCAGTAAAATTGCAACTTTATCATTCTTAGTATGTCAATTTCAAGTTTATGCCACGCTACCTTCTTAAGAATTTAATTATAATTAGGGTGGGGTGGGATGAATAGTGTCAAGTACAAAACAGAGGTTTGCATTTGTGGGCACTATGATGGTTAAAATAGTAAATACAAAATTCTCATGAAAAAAAGTATACTAGGATGGGTACAAAGATATGAAACAAAATAAGAAAGAAGAGTCAAGAAAATTGTTATATGGTAGGGTGATAAAAGGGAGTTTGCAATAAAGGATGCCATCTTCATCCAAGAGAATAAAAACAACATCAATCCAGCCAAGGATGACAAACTCAATTGGATATTTGAAATCATAGGGGAAGCCCTAGAAGCAGAACAATACGAGGATTTTTTTTTTAGAAAACCCACTCTATCTGAAATCAGCATTTTTTATAGTCAAACACAACTATCAGCAAAATCAGACAATGTCATAAAGTTTCCTACAAACTCTTAAACCCGTTAGAAGGAAATACTCCAAACTTTTTGGACAAATAGTGGCTTGCAAAAGATTCTAAATTTCTAACGGTCCTATTCAACAGGCTTTATCAAGTGCCAAAACAGATTACTTTTAAGTGTGCTTCTATAAAGCACATGACGTTCACATCAAGAGATAATGCCATAGATAATGCTTTATTTGTTCATTCATTGTTAGTTTATAGAGTTCAGAATTCAAAAAGAGAAATTAAAATTTCTTTAGCTTTCCTCTGTTTGTTCATGAACAAGAAAAGAAAAGAAAAAGACTGGGGAAGGAGTCTAAATCAATTGAAATTAATGAATCTTGCAATATAGATGCCGATTGGAGGATGTTAAGTTTTTTTTTTGAACGTGAACCGGTAAGAATCCTAGAATCCACAAAGATGAAAGAAGAAAGCAAAAATCAGATTAAAAAAAACCAAACCCAATAATGACCTAAAACAAGGACCTAAAATAAGGAATCGAAGTTATTAGATAAAAACTCCAATACTAAATAAATTATATAGGCTGCCACATGTTGTCCCAAAAAGAGTTGAGGAAAACAACCACCCTTGTTTAATTAATGCTGTTGTCGACTATGGAGAATTAAGGAATCAAAGAATTAATGTTGTTGCCACATGTCCCAAAAAAGGCTGCCGACTTTTTTAATATTCTTGCAAAATAATAATTCCAATCCCGCCACCTGTGTACTTGTAAATAAGGATACCTTGCTAATTAATTCCCTAATTCTGCCGCTTCTAATGTCCCTGTAGAATAAAGAAGCTGTCTTGCTTTTAGGAAATCCATAAACCAAAAGGAAAGATAATCCTAAACCAATTTGAAAAATTATGCAATTTTTGCACAGTAGCTTCTAGGCTTTTTTGTAGGGCTTCTCAAAGTTTGATTACTGTGAAATCTTAACTCTATATAAAATAAGGTCTTTTGAATCGTCTGGTAAAATCTCACCTCAATCCAATAGTTGGAAAATAGCGTTCCAATAGTTGGAAAATAGCGTTTGGAAATGTGGGCCAACCTGCTTTTCGAAAAAAATTAAAATTTTGTTTTTTGTTAAAAATTATTATTATTTTTTATATGTTTTGGATCGTTTTAATACTTTGATCTCAAAAATAATTTTTAAAAAATAAAAAAAATATTATTTAGATGTATTTTGGAATTAGAAGCACTTTAAAAAATAATCGCAATCACACTCCCAACACTTCCAAACAAACATGTTAGTGTAAAACTGTGCATTAAAAAAAAAAAAAAAAAAGCTCAAAACCACATTTCCATGTTGAACCGTGCATGAATTACATTAATCAAGGCTTGATCACCTCTCGTTTGAAATCTTGAAGCTTACCTTAAATATATTGAATTAGCCCATTGAAAGCTTTTTTAATTTTCTTGGCCCACGACCTTGCAGTTAGCCCAATCAGCACCTCTAATAGATTCTTTCGGGGTGCTTAGTTTTAGTCAAATCAAATACCAGCTTCTCCAGACCCATCAAAATTCTTTAAAGTAAGTGAGACTTGTTGAAACATTAAGGGAAGGTGTATAATACAAAATGGTGTATTGGGAAGGGGCCTTGACTTGAGGGGATTAAAGCAACAGAGTTAGGTGGGACAGTAGCAGTGTCTAAAATGAGACAACTATATTTGATTGAAAAGTCTCTGGAGGATTAATATAATAGGTCCAATTGCCACGTACATGGAACAAAAAGCAGCCTCTTTATTCTTTAATGTTTTGGGGCATGCGTGTTCTTGTTTAACAAGACTCCAATGCTGCTTTGGCCGGTAATCATGTGGTTGAAGAGCTAACTTTTCCCATAGTATGTAAGGTATAGAGAGTTCTAATTTATACGAGTGTTATAAAAGTGGCTATGCCCCTCAGCCCCTCAACAGACATGGTTTAACATGAACCATTGAAATTAAGAATCAAGTTGAATTTAAATAAAGACTGGGTTGAATTTATGTCTTGTATCTTTTTGTTGGACATAGTTTTGAGAGTTTAGCAGAACAAACCATGTTTGAAGCATGTAAGAGAATGCCAAACTTGTTTGTGGCTTTCAGGGTTAGCAGGATGGTGACCAAGGAACTTCTTGTTCACCTGGGGTGTGATGTGACAACTGCAAGTTCAAGAGATGAGTGCCTACTTGTGGTTTCTCAAGACCACAAGGTAGTGTGTATGGATGCAGGCATGCCTGATAGTTTTGAAGCTGCTGTCCGTTTGCATGAGAAATTTACTAAACGGCACGAAAGGCCGCTAATAGTGGCACTTACTGGAAACACAGACAAAGTGACCAAGGAGAACTGCATGAGGGTCGGTATGGATGGCGTTATACTGAAACCTGTTTCTGTTGACAAGATGAGGAGTGTTTTATCAGAGCTCCTTGAGCATCGGGTTCTGTTTGAAGCAATGTAAGTGGTGGTGATAGAAAAAAAGCACTAATTGGAGAGAAGCAAAACACGCAAGTCATCTTCTGCCTTTTTTGCGTGTGCATGCCATAAAAGCATCGCATCAATAGAGTGAAGTGGAGCCCTGGCAAAAACAATACCAACGCTTCATTGCTAAAAGCTAGTTCATGTATCATTCTGTGCATCTACATGTAAAGTCCCGGGCAGAAAAAACAGTCCCGGATTTGGGGAAATCTGAGTGTCCTTGAAAATGATTTTCTTTTTTGTTGTTGTCGATAATTTGTGAAACAAACTGGTATCATATAATCAAATTTCATTTTGAAGGCATAAATATCATTTGACATCTTCTTTGGTGTATCGTGTACTGATTAATGGTCGTTTTTTCTTTTTTGAAAAGATAATCATGGGTGAGACCTGTTATGCTTATGCCCCTGACTTTCCTATTTTTGTTTTTGAATGCACGCTGCAGTGTGGCGTTCTTTTCCTTTCTCACGAGCATGAAATAACTAAGCCTATGCAATATAACAAAATAAAGAGGGAGAAATCGTGGACAGGTTTTTTTCTATCGGAACGACTTAAAAAGTTTATAATATTTCTTTTGGAGTCGCTTTTCTACGAGCTGACACAGCCACTATTCTGAAACAAATAAAATCTAAAAATTCCGTTCACTTTGTCTTGTAAAAATAATTACTTCATACTTGCAGCCTGAGACTCTGTGCTGAAAGAGGCTCGTTTCATTTTAGGTTGCCAAACTGAAAGTCGATCCGCACCTTCCCTTTGAAGCATAGCTTCAAACTGGAATGTTGCCTTCAAATTACTATCGGGATGTGCACTGTGCTTCTTGTCATCATCAAGGGAACTGGAGATGTTTCATATAGACCTCGCTCAAAGCAAGCATCTTTACTTGAGCAAGTAGTAATTTCATTAGTATATTTCCATTATGTATGAGGAAGGCCTTAGGTATACAGTAAATGTATATGGTATTTACATCAACATCAAAGGGGTATTGCCAGGCTACTGCTAATCTTCCATGTCAGAATCAATTGGGCAGGATCCATCATCCACATTGGCAAGGGGGTTATATAAATGCGAGCTAGGATCCATGCATCCTGAGACTAGATCAAGATCGCAACGATCACCCTGCAAGAAAGTTTCATTTGTGAAATTGAAAGTCAATTTGTCATATTTCAAGAAAAATGGAAGCAAGGAAACCGAGACAGATGAAACAATGAATACACTTACCCCCTCAATGGATAAGTTGCCGATCATAGCACATCTTGTAACAATGATATCTGTATCCGGAAAAATTGCTTTTTCGCACGCACCTTCTTTACTCAACTCTTCTGCCAGGCCCTGTCAAAATGGAAACGTCTTTTGTTTGTTCCTTTTATCTCAATTTGTGGCTAAATTGGTCAGAATTGAATCACTTATTTAACATGTTATAAGCAATGTCAAAATGAGCGAAGTCTTCTAGATTTATGCAAATAATCTCCCAGCTTTCTTATATATTCTGGTATAAGGAAACCTGGGAATTTGATGTTTTTGGATACAAAGTACCTAAAGATTTGTTGTATCAACAACACTAAGATTTCATAGCATTCCAAACAACCAGCTATTACAATTTATTTAAGCACCAAAACTTCCCAAAATATATAAATCAACAAGCATCAACCAGCTATTACAATTTATTTAAGCACCAAAACTTCCCAAAATATATAAATCAACAAGCATCAACCAGCTATTACAATTTATTTAAGCACCAAAACTTCCCAAAATATATAAATCAACAAGCATCAACCAGCTATTACAATTTATTTAAGCACCAAAACTTCCCAAAATATATAAATCAACAAGCATTAGGACACGTGACAATTGAGCTAGTTACAAGCTCTAAAACTAAAAAAATTAAAAAAAAATTGATTAAACTATTCAAGATATTTGGGTTAAAAATACAAATTTATCATACTAAACATTTGTATGCTCTATGAGCTATATCTAAAGTTACGAGTGGAATTTTGCAGTGTGATTCTTATTGGGATGAAAAATATACATTGTAACTTCTAAACTATTTGATTTTGGGTTTATTTTTTTTAATGCATAATTTTACACTAATAAAAATAACTTTTAATCTAACCGTTGAATTTATTAAAATTTTTCCTAAAGATTCTAAAAGTTTTGTTTTTTATAGGATTAAAATGTTGTAACGATCAAATATCAAGAAGGACTTGCAATAATATTTAGAATCTATTGTGCAAGATTTGTATTATTTTCTTAGTTGGTTTAGGATTCTTTTTTCTATTTATATTAGTGTTTTTTTATTATGTTTCTAGCATTGTTTGGGATGTTTTACCTTATAAAAAAAGTTATTTAGCTTATATTTAGTTTTTTTTAAAACTACTTATTATTTATGAATAATATTTTGTATATAATGAGGTACCGCGTACTCTTTATTTTTCATACGTTCTTTGTAATATTCTTCCTTTTACATTAAAGGAAAGGAAAGGGTTGGATTTTTCATTCAATAACTTTGATTTTTCAATTCAACATAAAGAGATTTTCAATCTAATATTATCTTTTTTTAGATTATTTCTATGAGTAACGCCTCAATTAGTAAAATGCATGTTCTTTGTGATAAATGAATAAAACAGTCCGTGCATGTATCAGTAAAGTTCATTTATCAATTACCTTTTCTTTTCTTATCATTCAAGGTTGTCACGTTTGGGATTGACACCTAGTTATTCTCAAGGGATATATCAAAACTTTGTTTATGTGTTGGTACCTCGTTAAAGAATTCGATGGGCTTGTTTCGCCAGCCATTGTGAACTTGAAACTGCAGCCTGTAAGGACCATCCCAGTCAACTCCATTTGTGAACGAGAATATCATGTTCACAGCTGCAAAAAAGATACGACAGTTTCTTACAAGGAATTAAATGTCCCATAAAGCAATAAAATTGTGAAAATGGTACCAACCATACCATGCTTAGGAACGCATATATGGATGGTGTAAAATGGTGGATCAGCCTTCCCTCTAACTTTCCTCAGCATTGCCCTTGGCTCACCACCACACATGATGGGCTGATTAAAACCTCCTGCAAAGTAAGGGGTTGGAGATTGATTAAACAATACTTGATATCTTGAGGAAGGTGGAACCACCGAGCACTCCTTGTACGCCGAGCAGAGCACCACCATTGAAACGTAAATTCTTCTGGTATTTGAAATGATGCATGATATCGTTATGTTCAAAATGCTTTAATCTGATGCTCTATGACATTCCAAGTTACTACTTGTGGAAATTTTACAGACCCTTTATTGCAAGGAGTATTTTGTGACCCTTTCTGAGATGAGTTGAATAACAAATTACCATTAAAAGCAATCCCAAATTCTTCGTTTGGAACAAGCTTGTTTGCAGCTGGATTGTAGAAAAGCTTTAGGTTTGCCCCCTGTCAATTGATTTCAAGTTCAATATCGTTGAAACACTAGCACTACCTTCAAAAGAGAGAAAAGAATCCTGTAAGCGCTTACTTACAGAAGATGGAGGAAGGCCGTTCATGGTTTTCCAGAAGACGGGGGCACTTCCAAGTTCAAACATGGCCCATGTAGGACGTGCATACCTGGAAAGAAGTTATTACAGAATTAGAAGACCATTTCGATTCTGCTCTTTTAAAAGGAAATGATAACAAAAAAGCTGCTTTTGTAATAGAAAATTAAGCCTAACGATATGACTAATATGTCCTGTATCCTTTTTTATGCTGGTTTGCTCGTTTCTCGTTTACCCGCTCTACAAGAACGTAAGTATTGGAATGGGAAAAACTTCCTTTATGAACAGAACTGTGAGGTAGAGGCCTCTACACAATTAAGAAAAAATCCCATTAAATGGAAGGAAGAGGAAATTCATACTCCTTAACTTCCTCCATTGAAGGAGTGGCAACAGCAACAGCAGCTGCAGCAATCACTTTCCTACTAATCTTAACTGTTCTATTCTTCTTAGTCGTGCTCCGTCGCAAAGAAGAGCCGATGAAAGAACTAGCTGCAATAAGAAACATAAAAATGTCAAGCTTTTGAAGCTCAAGGTCAAAACTTGTTGCTGTACTTGTACTTGTGATGGAGATAGAACACAGACGGAGCAGCTTAGTAAAAAAAGATCAACGCACGAGGTTTGGCTAACTTGCTACTTAAATTTGAAAGCAAAAACGCCTTAAAACAATATTACAGATGAAAATACAGTGCAGTCACGGATAACCATAGCCATTTAAGATTAAAATCGGGGAAAAAGGAAAACAGCCAAATTTTTTACAAACCAAAATCCGGTCAAGCCATTCAAGTCTGATGGTAAAGTACAAGATTGCCAAAGAAATTCATGGTATTCACCATATGCTCTCATTCATACAGTTAACAAGCAGTCTCCAGTGATGATAAACAACTTAGAGCTCTTGGAACTACCTAGCAACTTGTTTGTCAGAACATCTTTCAATCGTTTTCTTGATGAAATTAAAGTAATTGTCAGTGGTTTCATCCATTCTTACCTTACCATTTCTTCCTAGTAACTACTTTGCCTACATGTCATTAATAAGATATGAGTTCAAGTATATTAGAAAAAACTACAAGATTCTCTAGGATTCTAACATGAATAAAATAAGAAAGTAACAAGGTTTTAAAGATACACTCACCAAGAGTGTTCGAGACGGATGGACTAGCATTATTAATATTAGCAGTAGTAATTGGCCTCGTGAAGACACGAGGTTGCGTCGAAATTTGAAAGATAGATGCACCCGTTGCTGCCATTTTAGTTGATTCTGCTTATACTATCAAGACAGCAAAGAATTTAAAAAAGAGAGGAAATAGCTTGAACCTATTAGTTATGAGACAGAGTATGAGATAAGGAGAGATATAGAAGGAGAGACAACCACAAGCACCAATTTTCCAAGGAAATATCTTTACAAACACACAAAGTAAGTGCATGAAAACAGACAAAAAGCAAGCAATGACCATACATTCTGCTTACACAAATATCTATATCTATGATTTTTGTCAACCCTTCCCAGGTCCCAAATCTGAACACAACCCCTTTAGCTGTGCCCCCTGCCCACAACCTCCTTTCTTCACATACTTTTCAGCGTAAATATTTATTTCCTTTTGCACAATTAAAACCACAAAAAGTGCATTTATCTATAAATAATCAAAACTTCCCAATAAATAAATAAAAATAAAATAAACAGCATCACATTCACCCTTTCTCAAGTCTCAATAGCTTTCATCACATCAGCCACACTTTCTCAAGTCTCAATATCACATCAACCACACTTAAATCTAAATCTAAATAATAGCTAAATAATCTTATTTATATTTGATAAAAACCAAAAAAATAATAATAAGAAATACTAATTCAAATAGACAAAAAATTCTAAATAAACTAGAAAAATAATACAAATCCTGCAAAACATCTTACAAGCTTTATCACAAGGCCTTCCTGAACTTTAATCAATATGAAATTTTAACTTATATAACACAATGCACTTGGGATCTTGTGGAAAAATCTCAATCTGATCTAATATTCAGATTAACAATTATGGTTGTTAGCTGATAAGTACTTAAAAGTGCATTCTTACCATGACTTTATATTATTATATTACAATTTTAGTATAATTAAATTCCCTAACTTAAGCATATTTTATAATAACAAGTTTGATAACATAAGATGACTTTAATTTATAGTAAATGGTTATTTTAAGTGTAGGTATATTGACACGACTAAAAGATTGATGTCTTCTCCCAAGTGCAGGAGTGTCGAAGTAATAAATAACCCGGCAAGACCGGGGTCGAACCACAGGGAGGTTAATTGTACAAATTATAAACAACAATTATAAACAACAATAATAGTAATAACAATAACAATAATAACAACAACAACAACAACAACAACAACAACAATAATAATAATAATAATAATACTAGTAGTAGTAGTAGTAGTAATAACAATAATAATAATAATAATAATAATAATAATACTAGTAGTAATAATAATAATAATAATAATAATAATAATAATAATAAAGAAAGAGAAGAAGAAGATGATGATGATGATGAGAACTTAGAGATGAAATATTAATGTAAGGATTAAACAATAATAATAACAAATGTCAAGGTTAGAGGTTCCACTAATGGTATATCAAACAAGTATAGTATAAACTCTTATTATTGAATTGGAAACCACACACAAAGGAGGTTCCAATCAGATTATATATTGTTAACATGATTACATTAGTCATCTTATTCAATTAATGCTAATACTTGTAAATCTCGTCAAGCATTCATGATTATAACTTATGTTAACAACAAATCAAGTTCCTTTCATAGCTCAGGTGTCGGTTATACCATACATTATGGGCTATGAAAGTGCCAAGCATTTGTTGTACCAAGTATTATACAACATAAATCAAGATTAGTCATTTAACAAGCAAAGTATTAAAGAGTGAACAAGATAACAAATATAAAACATGTTAGTATCAAACATTAAAGTCCATATTAAGTTTACATTATACTTATTCTTACACCATTAGTGTAACCTTTTCACCTTGACATAACTAACTTAGCTAGACATAATGAAAGAAAGCAAAATAGATAAACCAAATAAGAACATAAAAGTTAACTAAGTAAAGGAAAGGAAATGAAAGGCATAAACTTAATATTAATGAAAGCAAAGCATAAACATTACAAAAAATACAAAGAGAAAAAGGAAGAGCATGATCTTGATCTGGAAACCAAGATGCCTAAATGCATGGCAAATGCCTCCTTTTACCATTCATTTAGGCATCTTGATCTGGAAACCAAGATGCCTAAATGCATGGCAAATGCCTCCTTTTATAGGCCAAAATTGAGAACTATTGATTTGATGACTAATTGATAAGTGGGTGGCCAACTTTTGACTTGGTGACAATCCTTATCTTCTCTTGTCTGCCCAAAACGTCATTGATAACGTCAAAATTGGAGCTAGTTGTAAACATGAAAGTTGTAGGCAATTGTCTCAGCTTTCTTGTGTAAAACATTCAGCTCATTTGGACTTCTAGAACTCCAGATATGGCCAAAATACCGAATAGTGCTCGGGCTGGAAGACATATTCGGGCTTCTTTGTTGTTGCTACAATTTGGACTTGATAATGGCCTTTTTAGATCTTGGGCTCTATATGAAAGTTGTAGGCCTATGTCTTACCTTTCCATCCATATAAATTGGACCTAAATCTGAGATCTGTAGCTCCAGATATGACCCAATTACCGAACAGTGTTCCGGTTTGGATTGCACCGACATCTCTTTTCTAAGTTTGACCATCTCTTTGCCCTTGCAATTTAAGTTCTTAAAGTCATCAATCAATCCTTTCATTTATATGATAGGCCTGCATTTAAAATGAACATTTACCATAAATTAAAGGTATCTTATATTATTAGATATATTATTATAAAACATGCTTTAGTTAAGGAGTTATTGATACTTCAAGTGCAAAATGATGATATAAAACCATGACAAAAATGCACTTTTAAGTACTAATCATATATATATTTATTCAAAAGATTGATTGATGTGATTAACTATTGAAAGTAAAAAGACAAAAAAGAGAGGCTAAGAGATGCTAGTTCAAACTAGAACACCATTTAGTAATTATACCATATCTAGAGTTGTAGACCTGGATTGAGGTCTAGTGTTTTTTATATAAAAATCTAAGACATAGGCTTACAATATTTATAAAGAGTCCAAGACTTAATCCAGGTCTACAGCTTAGATATTGTTCAATGTTCAGTTCATATCTTGAGTTTTAGAAGTCCAAATGAACCTATTTTTTTGGTGGAAAGCAGAGATAAATTCCTACAACAATCATGAATACCACTTTGCCAAATTCAGATTATAACAACGTCATTTCATCTAGAAAATAAATCCATACTGAAACCACTAAGTCAATAGTTGGTCACTACATCAATAATCAATACCAAATAAATAGTTCTGAATTTTATTTTATAAAAAGAGACATTTGCCATATACTTAGGCATCTTGGTTTCAGATCAAAATCATATTCTTACTTTCTTTATTTATATTTTTGTAGTATTTAAGTTTTATTTCATGTTATATTAGTCTCTTGTTTATGCTTTTTATTTCCTTTCATATACTTACTAAACTTATATCATAACTTTGTTCTTATCTTATTTATTCATGTTTCTCTCATTCATAATAATTTTAAGTTTATTATATCAAGGTGAAAAGGTTTCATTAATGGTGTTGGAATAAGTATAATATAAACTCAACATAAACTTTAATGTTTATATCCAAGAAAGTTTGCTATTAGCATGTCTTATCATTTTTATCTTATCAATTCTTAATAACTTGCTTGTTAAATAATTAATCTAGATTTGTGTTGTATAACTCTAGATACAATAGATGCTTGATTCCTCATAGTCTTTGGCCATGTTAACCAACAATATTGTTATGAAAGGAACTTGATTTGTTGTTAACATAAGTTAACATCATGAATACTTGACAATATTTACAAGTATTGGTGTTACTTAAATAAGATAATTAATATGATCATGTTAATAATGTATAATAAAAAGAGTTATACTATACTTATTTGAAATACCATTAGTGGATCCTCTAACCTTGACAATTGTTTTATCTTTGTTTAGATCCTTATATTAATATCACTTTCACTCTTTTATATATATATAGTTCTCATCCTTATGGTTCGACCCCGGTTTTGTAGGGTTATTTATTACTTTGACACTCCTGTATTTGGGATAACACATTAATTTTTTGATCGTGTCATTAGCGTAAAACTACGGATTAGAAAAAATAAGTCCAAAACTGCCTCTCCTTATCCAATCTGTAAGCTCGCAACTTGGTATCATTGAAAATTAAAAATTCATTACAAAACAATACTCCTAAGTTGCCGACTTTATTTCCTTGCAAAAATCAGACTTCTAAATTTGCATAGTTGCTGACTCCAATGTTATCAAAGTCGCCAAAATCTTTCCTTATAAAAAAATGATTGTTGCTTGTAAGAATCCACAAATTATATTTTTATAAGAATCCATAAATCATATTGAAAACAATCTTTCTGTTTTATTTTCCTTGATTGTTTATAGATTTCAAGCTTGACTTCAAACACATTATTCTCTTTTGTCTAGATGAATTATTGATCCTACCATATATGGATGAAAATGTTGAAATGTCTAGTCTCCATCTCAACTAGAATTGCAGCAAAACTCCACCTGTAGCTTTAAATATGACTTAAATAGTACACCAAGGTCCAATCTAACAGATTTGTAATTTTTTAACTCAAACATCGTAAATCAACCTAATCAATTCCTCTTGAATCATTTTAGTTATAGAAATGAAAAAGAGAGAATGAGAGGTAAATGGAAAAAATGTGAGCATAGTTTTGTGAAAAGTTAGAATTGAGTGAAACATGAGTAAAGTAACATCATATTAAGTGTAAATACATTAGAGAGCATGTGAATACACATTTTTGTTTTGCTACTAATATAAAATCTCAGATTTCAATAATTTCTTTTGAATATAGATTATCAACTATGAAGGATAATGAGAAACCATTCTTTATGTTATGAGCTATACAACAACAAATTGAGAGGATGAATGTGAGGTTTGGTGAGAATTTTGATAGAATGGAAAGACAAGAGGCCTTGTTTGCTAGTTTATGAGAGGGGTTAGTTTAAAGGGGTCTTAATGTTAGAAGGCTGAAATGACATCCTACCACATAGTGTATCACAAAAAAATTAGCAAATACAAATAGACTTATGGATGGAAAACATCTGTTGGTAGATTACGATGAAGTGTATTGACGGAATAGTCCCTTGTCATATCTATCAATGAACTAATGATTAAGAATTTGAGAGCACTATTAAATTTTGTCAATTTTATTATTGAGTTGAAAATTTTGGT